CCACACACAAACCAATCATATAACGACCACCACAACCACCAACCACAACCAACCAACCAACCCACCAACCAATACCACCAACACTACGCACGCATACACCATCAACACCACCATCACATAAAAACATTATAAGTATATATTTTGGGCTTTATGTTAGGGTTAGAGTTAGGGTTTGTGTGTAACAGTTTGTATCAGTGTGTATCAGTGCGTATGATATCATTTAATTAAAAAAAAAGCAAAGTATATATATTACCTGATCCGACATAAACCGTCTCCTATATGCCTCCTGAGCCTCCTGAGGCAGAGTCGACATGAATTGTGTGAACTCCAATTCTCTCTGCTCCCGACGCCTCTGTTCTTCCTCTGCAACCCGCTGATATGTTGTTTGCTGCGACTGCCAATCTTCAATCGTTTTTAATCGCTGCTCCATCGAGTCTTGATTTGAACTGCTTTCTGGTGTTCCTGGTGGTGCTGCAGACTCGTAGGTGCTACTAGACTCGTGCGGCCTCTGCTCGGATCCTCTCCACCAGTATCTGTTCTTCTTACTGGGTCCAATGACCGTCTTGATGATGGAGTCCTCCTCCTCTCTACTTAGCCGGGCAGGAGTGTTAGAACAGACCTGAGACTGAGTCATTTGCTCCTGTACCTTGGCATGTAATTTCTCATGTGATATATCAAAACAACCCGGGCAAGTCGACTTACTAATGATGCATGGATATGAAATTGAATATATAAATGATCTGCTACTTACAGCCAGACCCTTATTTTTTTACTTTCTTCTCTTCATCGGCGTAATTCGGGCTCCAGGAAGTCAGAATACGATCTACAAAATGTTCGAGATCTCCCCTTCCCTATTTTATTCAAATATATCATTAACCCATAACACATAAATTATACTCAACTTAAAAGCTAATATATTATATATCTCAAGCTCCAATTGATGATAATGCTGACTGAAGGACCTGGAGCCCCCGTGATGCTTGTAACTGCGGGGCGCGTTGCGGTTCCTCCTTGCTATTTCAGCTTGAGCCTGCAAAACAATGTCAAATAAAAACAATATAGAAATTCAAAAAATAAATTAAAAATATATACTTCAATAATACCTGAATTTCAGGCGTGTCCCAGTAATCGCAAAGTGCAAAAAAATCTACTCCATCCACACGCTCGTCAAGATGCTAGAATCACTCCCAATCTTCTGTTATTTGAAGAAAATCGACCCACTTAGCGACCGTAGAGGGTTTGTGTCAGAGTAGGCTAAGAAAGCTTCTATCCCATCCTTGTATCGGGTGTTTAGATGCCTTCGATCACGCGGTATGCTCATAAAAGATTTGTCCGGAACTGTCCGCATCTAGAATATAAAAATTAATGGAAGTGAGCATATCCCTACATATATCATTTTAATTTAGGGATGTAAATGTGTGTTCAGAGGACCGCATGTGTGACCGGCTGTCAGAGGAAGGCTTCTATCCCATTAGGTATGTAAACGTGACGTGTATATGTATTTACGTGTGTTCATGTGTCCTAACCCTAACCCTCGCCTAACCCTAATCCTAACCCAAACCCTCACCTAACCCTAACCTTAACCCTCACCCTCACCTTCACCCTCCCCTAACCCTAACCCTAACCTTAACCCTCAACCTCACCCTCACCCTCACCCCTCACCCTCACTTAATGTAAAACCCCATAAATTTTAAATGAGTATATTGAATTACTAGCGAGAAAATAATATTAATCACATATGTATTTATGCATACATATATAGAAGGTGTATATCAGTGTTTTGAGAACTATATTAGTGTGCATATGGGAGAGGTTTTGATTGGTGTGAGCATCAGGTTCATAATCATCTCTGTTGGCGATTTCTTGTTCTGAGCGGTCGACCGCAAGAGTCATGCTGGTCGACCGCTGATCGGTCTCGCACTCAGGAAATTTCTTTCCTGCTGTGCGGTCGACCGCACTGGGCGCGGCGGTCGACCGCCCAGCAGACAGAGAGTTTTCTGGGTTTCGGGTCTTAGCGGGTTTCGGGTCGGGTCTAGGGGTTAGTATATAATCTAATGAACCCGGGAGAGAGCTCTTTTGATCTGAAATCAGAACCCTAGCCCCCTCTCTCCCCTAAAACCCTAGTTTCTCACTCTTTGGTGATTTGGAGGAGCTTTGGAGGGTTTTTCAGCGGATTTTTGGTGGATTCAGCGAGAGGGATCATCTTCCTCCAGATCTAGGGCTTCGTTTTCGTCGTAGGCGAGTAACATCTCGCCCAACTTCATCCCTTTTCGTTTTTATGCTTAGATTTGAGTTTTCATCCGGTTTTTATTGAGCCCAAATCGTATTTTGTGTAGATAAAGTAGATCTTATGGCTTGAGGTGCAAGAATCATATTTTTCAGTAATAAAAATTTCACTAATGATGTTTAATTAATGAGATTTTGATCTGAAATGCTTTTATGAGAGTTAAACTCATTTTTATTGTTTAAGAACTTTTAAAATCATGTTGATTAAGGTTTGGGATTGTTGATAATGAGGTT